ACGGTGAGCTCTTCGCCTTGATCGGGTAGACGTTGACGGTTGAGGCTCTTCCTCACCTTGCCCTCGGGCCCCACCGCCGGCGAGCTCCACAGACGAACTCATTGACAGCTGCAGCAGAGCTTCGGTCGCCTCGACCTCTTTCCGACTGCCGCTGACAACCCGACCCGCGGGATCTGACAAGTCAGTTTTCCAGTATGCCCTACGTGTTTTGCCAGACAAGGCAGACGCACTAGGGGTCATTTGGTGGGAGACGGCCTGCTGTCCTGCTTCCAGTGAGCCGGAACTCTCGTGTAGGTCTTTCCCCATGAGCCGTGCCTTAATCGGAAGCACAAGCAAAGCTGAGGCATCATGATCACTATCAGAGCTCAGCCAAGCTGATTCCTCATCCGAATCACTCCCACACAAACTTTCAAATCCACGCTTCGTTCCCTTACCAGCAGACAGCTGGCGAGCGCGAGTGCGCATTGCATGGTTCCTCATACGGGATTGGCTGCACATGGATATTAAAACAACAGCAGCAGTTACAGAGGCAAATGTAGCTATGAAGATGCGTCTACAAGAATGGTCCCACAGACGACTTCCGCGAGCAGACGACGAGTTCTGCACCGTCGCATTAGTCGGATTGAGAGGTGCATCTGCTGCCTTCAGGTAGGGCCCAACCGCTCTGGTCGAATAGTTGCCACTCTCCATCGTCTGTCATACCCATTGAGAAATGAATTTGGTTTTCGTTACGCCATAATCTCACTCGGCCACTCACCCCAGCGGTACCGACAACTTTATGCCCAACCTGGCAGTTCCACTCCGACACCTGGAATATCTCCTACGCAGAATGGCAGGCTCGATAAGACCATAGCAGTGGAGAGTAGGATAGCTACGTATATATGAAAGAAAGCACTCGACCTGCAGCCCGACTGCAGAGCATGAGTCTTAGGGTCGATCCCCACGCACGAGGCTAGTCAAGTTTATTGGTGCGAATTGTTCGGATTTGTCGGCTTAGTTGCACATGAAACATTAGGTCCAAGTAATCGCTTGTTTTGGGCATTACATTGCCAAGCAGCACAGGCAACTTGTTGGTGCACCGCTGTTCACTTCCCCAGAGCGGGTTGAAGTTGCCTCAAGGTACACCGGTCGCCTGGAATGTTGAATTCATGTTTATTAGTTTATCTTGGTTCCCAAGACTACGTACACAATAATAAGCAGTGAAGGCCAGAAGTGCTTCTCGTGGCTATTCCTTATACCCATATATCCACGGCGGAAGCGAGCGAGGCTGACCGGCGACCACCTGGTTGTTCTCATCAAACCGACGGTCAATTCA